TTATTTTACAAAACAAAACAATTGTGGCATGTATTAGTATTGAGTAGCGCTGCAAATAACGCTTATTTTGTAGAACAATTATTCTATCGATTATTCAATTAATCTGGTGAAATTTTAAAAACATATAAAAGTTTTTTTTGTTCATATGTACGTTAAAAATATATTAAAAGATGCCAATAAAAAATTTATTAAGTTTTTTAAAAAGAAAAATAAACATGTTATTACCTAAATACAATAGTATCATTATTTTAACTTGAGGAGTTTTGGGTAAAAGATATGTCTGCCTTAAATACAAAATTTATATATATTTTGTACAGTTTTAGCTTATAACTTGGAATATGTTGGGTTTTCCAGGAAATGTCTGTTTTTTAGTGTATACACCAGTTAATCAATTGATTACGAAATTAGTTGATTTTTATAATCGATTAATTGCGATTAATCGTTTGAGTCTTAACATTCAGAGACTCTGATAAACATGAATAAAATTCTTGGATTTCCTCCATAAGTCACCTAATTGATGCCAGAGTGCAGATAGATCTCAGAAAAAAAAATACATCATGAAGAACAAGGAGCACGTTTGTAGAAATGTTTAAAACAGCTTCAGGTTATGAATAATGGTGGAACTCAATTTCAGTTTTTAATCTAGCTAATTGTAGGGTCTGTAATTAATTGGATTTAACTATACACTGACCAACTTTTTCAATTCAAAAACCCATTTAGCTGCTAAATTATTGAATAAATAGATATATTAGCTCAACAACAAAGCTAATTACTGTTTCTAAAAACAGTAAATAAACTAGCAAAGTGCGTTAATACGCATTTAACTTTGAAGTGTTTCAGGAACTTCTTTGCCACTACATATTTCGCATTTAGATGGCTAACACCTTTTAGCACAACCTGAATACAAAAAGCGTCCCATCAAATTTTTTTTTACAGAAATTAACACCCAGTCGGACAAGAGAAGTAGCTTTGTCATCAATTAAATAAGCAATAACTCAATGAATTACATGATAAATTAAAACGACCACAGTTATCTACTTTTGCATGATTTAGCTTTTTTGTCTTTTTCTTTCTTCATCAGGTGATTTGGTCTCATCTAGCCCTTTTTTCAAGGAGAATTGTGCTTACAGAGACTGTACAGTTAGTTTTATTTGTTGCTTTGTTTGTTTTGAATGTGTAAAATCTCTTCCAGTTCTAGCGTCAAATGTTCATTAGGATTCAGGTTTACTGATGTTTGAGAATGCGTTCTTGCATTTAGATGCCCTTATTACCATTATACTTGGTCTCAAAACAATATTATTGTTTGTCACAGTAATAATCGGTAAAAGCTATTGGATATTGCTTTTCTGTCTCCAGAACCGCACAAATCTGAGTATAATTAATTGCATAAAAATTTTTGCACCTTAAAATCTACGTAATTAATGCATGAAAGTCCCAGCCCAAAGTCATGTTATGTCTTTTTATTATTTGTTTTTTTCTGTGTACTTTATGTGAAGGAAACCCTGGAAACATTTTTACTGTTTTATCCGAAACATCTTAAGGTTCTGCAGTCCAGAGCTGCACTTTGCTGAGAAGCAGCAAGTGAGCCGGACTCTGCGGTGTCCCTGCAGCCGAGCTGACACGTCTGATAAGCGCTGCGGAGCTTTCAGCGCCACGGACGGCTCATTCAGCCCAGACTTTCTCCTCTTACTGCCACGGGGCGCGGTGACACTCGCATCCAACTAAATGTCTGCCATGCCTGAGTTAACAGGGACTTCACCCTGAGGACGGCTTCGGTCACTGACGCCTGGTGGCGGCCCGCTCCTCTGTCGGTTCGGCTCGGCTCTGCTTCTGTTGCTCGCTGCGTATTCTGAAGAGGCTTTTTTAGTGATTCTCAGGAGCGTGCGAAGCAAAAGCCTCACTCCGTCTCCTGTAGTTGTCCTGATGAAATACTCACATTTATTGACAGACAAATAGAAAATATGACAATATGTAGATCTGACGAGGCGTCTCGTTTCAGCAGCTTTACTCTGAAAGTTGCAACTTTTGGCAATTTCCTGCGTTGTCAGCGTTCCAGTAGCATCTCAGTGGGACAACTGGCGAGCAATCATCCCGTAATTTGATTTCTGTGTTAGCATATGCTTGTGACTTCCAGAAAGTGAGATGAATTAAATCTAGAAGATAAATAAAGTGTTTTTCTTAATAATAATTAATTAAGGCCACTAAAAAAAGTTCAACTTTTGACTTTGAATTTCAAGCTTTGCTTTACTCTCAGAATTCCAACTTTTCTCAGAATTTCCAACTTTTTTAAAATTCTTTTTAATGATTCTGACTTTAAATAATCAAACATTCTTGGGTGTGTCAATTATCTTGCAAGTTTCTGAAAATAATAACCTAGGTGTTTCTTCCTTCTTATAGAATTTGGAAACCTGAACTCTCGTCTTTCCCAAAGTTACTTGGTCAATTTGAGTTTTCAGACTAAATTTGCCTGGTGATGCAGAAAAAAAAATAAAAAATTCGGTATCCCTAACTCTTTTCTGTAGATTCCCGCTTGTTGTGGCTGCAAACAGCAGAAATGTGTGAAATGCCTCCTGAAAGGTCGTCCCAAGACGGATTGGAGAGAGAAAAGAGAAAGTGTAACCTTTACCTTGCTGTGTTGTGTGACAAACCGAGCCCAGTTAAGAGAAAGCTGCAGCGTTTACGTTCTGCCTCTCCGTTCCTGGCGCTGCTGACGGATCGATGATTGATTTAAATGTTCTTTCTGGTAACAGAAACTGAAAGAACAGCTTGATGTTTGAAGTGAGAGCGCGGAAGATTAATGGAAGGGCTCGGCTTGTACATGTGTGCGGTCAGCGTGTGACCACATGAAAAGTCTAATCACTAAAACGGAGGTTGCTCGGCAAGAAATGTGAAAAACAAAAACAAAAATGACAGAAACATAACAGGGAAAATGACCAAAATCTTTTCAATTTCCTTTCCTAACTTCCTTGTTTCCATTAAGAGAAAATATGCAGCCCTTCCAGCATGATGTCATGCACACAAGATTTGTCCTCATCAGAGCAAGAAGTTTCTCGCTAACGATGACTAGCATTGGATTTAGCTATCAATATAACATGCTAAATCTTAAATGTAAGCCTGATATGTAAAAGAAAAAGAAGCGCAATGCTTTGTTACCAATCGCTAGCACTGCAAAAACTAGACAAGGCCTGGAAAAGTTTTAATTAAGACAAAAATCTAGCAAAGGAGAGGGAAGTAGTGGAGTTATGCTAGCTTGACTATGACATCTGTAACATGTAGGTGTGCTGTGGAATCTGATGTGGTTCAGTTCAGTTAAAAAATAATCAAAAAAGGCAACCTAAACACCAACTCTGACAGAATGTCAGTAGAGCAGGTGTTTAAATTAACTCATCAAACACTGCAGTGTTAGCTTAGCTCAACAGCAGCAGCAGCTAATCTAACACAGCGATCACTTATTAACCAACAAACATAATACTCTAGGAGACTGAATGTTCGGTTTTTATGTGGGGAAAGTTTGTTTTTCGGTGTTGAATCCAGAAGCATAAAGTGGCGATGTTGTCAGTTGCTCTGGCAGCGAGTCTGAATTGTTCTTTAACGTTTTTCTGCGCTATTTCTCCCTCCTCTGTGGCGAATTGCTCTGAATTGTTAACATTACTGTACTACAGCGGCATCGCGGCTATGGATACCATGTCAAAGAATCGTCTTTTTGCCCTCCAGTAAAGTGTGCATGTGCAAAATTTCCTGATGTAAACATTAACATGTAAGAGGTTTTTATGAATTCACTGGACTCCATTCATAATTTACTACGGGTCGCAAATTACATTTTACCTGAACCAGAATCCAGCAGCTTTTCACTCAGACTGGATGTTTCTGCTCTGACTTTCTGTAGAGAATTCAAAATCTGTGTCCAATGCTTGAGAGACCAGGAAGAGCATTAAATCTGCAGAAGAACATCAACACAAATCTGAAATCAGAGCAGAAAAAGGGGAATAACAGTAAGAGAAGCCAGTATGACGGATCGACCAGGAATCTGACGCAATCCCCAAGTCCTCATGAGCAAGCTGGACTTTATGTTGATAAAAACTTAACCCACTCAGTATTTGAGGAGTTTTAGATATTATTTACTTATAAGTGGTTATTTGAACCCTCAAATAAACACAACTCTTCACTGTTTCTGTTCAGTTTTCCTCCTCTCATTTTCATTGTTTTTTTTTTGTCCTTCATTTGCAATTTGAAGGACAAATTCACATTTTTTTCACATTTGTCTAATTTTTTCACATTTGTCTAATTTTTTAGCTCTACTTATCCTAATGAAGCAGTTCAGTGTCTATTATTAACTTTTTCTTACATTAGGAGCTGATATAACAGTATAAACGTGCCATTAGTGTTCAGTTAACATTTAATGTAAGAAATATAATTAACGTTGTTTCCAAATCTCATTAACTTAATCAAAGAAGGCTTTATTAAAATTTTTCTCACTTTTCTCTTCAGCTCAGATTTCGTCCATATTTCAAAGTCAAACATTGTAAAAAACCAAAATCTTACCAAGTATTTTTGTCTAGCTTTTTTTTTTTTTTTTTTTTGCAAATGCATTAATGCATTGAAAATAATTAAAAACTTTTCAGCAATTTGCAGGAACTTATTTTAAGTCAGCAATTTCTAAAATTGTGATGTGATAAGTGAAATAATCAGTGGGTTTTGCATGTTTTCATCAATATCAGGGAATAATTTACTTAAAACAAGCTCCCATATCCTGCTGTAAGTTTTCTTTGTCTTATGGAAAAAGATACCAACTCAAAATGAATTGCTTGTGTATGTCTTTGCAGTGAACACACTAATTAGAAATTATATCTTATGACTTTTTTCGGATGTCTCCTGTTGCACATTATTTCCGTTCTACCATCCACATCTGTATTTTTTTGTTTTCACCAGGTTTTTTTTTATCATTCTTCTTCTTTTTTTAATTTTACCCTAAAGCATGTTTTGTGTTCTCAACATTTCAGGTCACTATTCACCCTGGAAGACTCCAAAACAGGTAACATTTGACAGCATCAGATATCAGGTTTATTATTGTCCTCCTCCATCACGCTAACTCCACTAAAAACTTACTTTCTGATATTAACTTCTAATTTATTGCTATGAAAGAGCAACAAATCCAGGCATCCTGTTGGCTTTATAACACACCAAAACACTTTTTTAGATCAGATACACTTTTCCCTGTTTGTTTTTGTCACGCTCCTACGCCTCTACACGTTTCTCTCTTCCTTCGGCTTGTTTTTTTATAAATCCATTTCACGCCTGGACGTCCTCCCAGCGCTGCTCTGACCAGTCCCTGAACCCGGCTCGCGTTGTTCCCATCTCCAGATCCGGAGACCCAAACCGGCGCTTGTAAAGAGCTTCTGTCGTTTAAATCCCTCCATTGTTCGCAACTTCAGCTCCATCTCTGTATAATCTGACATCTCCGAAAATAACTGCTCAACACTGGAAAGAGCAATTCTACAGCTTGAATAGTTCCCATTTTGACACATTAAAACCACAAACTTAATTTTTAAAAATAACGTGCAATAAATCAACAACACAACAAACGAAAAGCGGCAGCGAGCAGTTGTAAAATTAAACCTAGCTAAAATCCACAACATCAACAATAATAAATTAAAAATGTGAACAAAACATAGCAAAATTACTCATGACACACTGCATATGATAAACTTTGTCTAAAATCCATATATGAAATACATTTGGAAAGCAAACACAGACCTGATTTTAATTCACCTAGCTTGCTCTGGTAACCACCAACTTGATATGCGAATAAATGTCTGGATAAAAAAACAACATCCTGAATATAAATAAAAGAATAAATAAACACACTAGTCAGTTTAAATCCAAATTAAAAGATATGAGGATGACAGGAAAGCCATTGATGAAGTCATAAAAAGTCATAAAGACTTAAATGTATAGCTAGAGCTACAATGGAGTGATTTATAATAAAAGAAAAATCATATGTAAGAATGGCCTAGTCAAAGACCAACTCTCAATCTGACTTCACCCATGTCATGAATAAATTTTGACTCAAGTTTGGATATTACAAAGAAGCAAATGCATAAATTTCTGTGAAGGTCTGAATCAAGAGAGCTAAAAATGGAGATGTACACCACACTTTTAAGATTTTTAATTGAAACGAGCTCAAAAAGAAGGGATTGTTTTGTGGTGGTTCTGAGACAAAATGAGAAAAACAGAGTTCAGTCTAATTAGGTTTCCACAGCTCGGAGTCAAACATGGAGGCTTTGATTAACAGAGTGGGAGCAGAGCATTGGCCAATTTGTCAGATGGACTTTCTGTCCAGCAAATCTTTGTTTGCAGATAAGCCTGTTTAAATTTGTCTGTCAAATTCAGAAAGCCACAGGTAACCACTAGTTAATGCTGCAGCACTTTCAGTTGTTTTTACTGAATAATGCAGATTAATTAAAGGTAAAAGAAAACGTTTTCATCTCTGCAGCTAATACTGGCTCTCGGAACCAGCTGCTCCGTATCTTCCCGATGATAAACGCGCCAGTCATGCGGTCTCAGTTTTCCCTCCGTTCCGAGTCGCTTTGACGCTTCCCGGCGTGTCAAAATGTCGTCTCGGCTGTCTGTTCGCTGTCCTGCTGTGACTCACGCGGCCGGCTCATCTGACACATTGAGGCTGGCGCTCAGACTGACTGGTGTTGGAGAAACTGTCGCTGCCGCCGCAAATTCAAGATGTTTCTCTTTCAAATTGACGCCAAACCGCCCGGCTCTCTTCACCTTGGAAACAGACAGAAGCTTCTGCCGTTATTTGTCTCCCTAAATATATTCGGCCAAACTGCTTCTTCAAATACTAATTTCACTAACTTGTTACTTTTCTAAGCTCTTTCCCCAAACACCAATAAAAAAATCTTTCAGGTGTGGATAGATGCTCCCAGAAGCTTGCTTTGTTTGGAAAAAAAAATCAAGATGGCTGCCAAGGTCGTCAAGGAAAATTTTTTGCTCTAAATTTGCCAATATTTATTTATCACAGGTTATTGTTTTTGATGTCAAATCACTAACAACTTGACACACATAAATTATTCACTTTTTTGTACCTTTTTTTACTAATTATTTGAATTTTCAAGATGGCTGCCTTTGTTGTCATAGAAATTTTTGCCCTAAAATTGACCATTACATTAATGTGTTTGGTCTCCAATTAAAGCCCACATATTTTAAACCATAGAAACTGAATGCATTTCCTTTTTTCTGTGTTTTCTTTTTCTGGAGGTGATTTTCAAAATGGCCGCCACATTTGTAATAGAGAGTATATGTTTGTTAGCCGCGGCTAACAAAAACGTCAGGTTCACTTGCCACTAATTTGCAAAACACTGAGGAAAAACTGGCACATTTTATACCAACAACTGGCTAAAAATGCTGAAAAACGGCGGCCATCTTGAAATTCAAGTGGCTAATGGACAAAATGACAAACGAGCTGCTCATTTTAATGCTGTATCCACACTTGAATGATTTTTACAGTTTTTACTACTCAAAAGTCAAAAGCGGCGGCAACAAATCTGTCAAGCTTTGGATTTCTACTAAAATGACATGAAAAAGGTCAATAACTTCACAGGTTTCTGCTATAAGAAGCTTTGATAGCTCTAATATAAATTTATATATATATTATTTGATATGTGTAATATTATTTGTAGATGTTTCATCATTATTTACATAATTTGTAAAGTAAAATAAGGCATGGTAGTTCTTGTTTTGGATAAAACTGTGTGGGCTGCTTCTCATTAACATTTTTCTTCTGGCATTAATCAATAAATAGAACCTAAAAAAAAACTATCAATGCAAATGTGTACAACACAGTACACAGATATTTCCAAGATGAACAAGTTAGTAGTAAATCTTTTATAGCGGTGAATGTGTTGTATGAATGTCCAAAGCTTGGCAGGTTTTGCATCAGTCAGGGGTAACCAATGATTATATCTCCTTGATGTGCTTTAACCATACAAATGGAACTAAAATCAAACATCAGATGTGGAAAAAACCAAGAAGAAGAAGCACTGACCCATCATGCCGCTGTGCTTTGCAGGTGCTGGAGCAGTGGGAGTTCCAGCAGGGCCAGAACAGCCCCGCTCAGACCAGCCGCTCTGCTCCCATTGTCTCCCACAGCGCCCCCTTCCCAACACACCATCTTCACATGGCCTCGGTCCCGGTCTCGGCCTCCGAGGCCTTGGCACTGGTCAAACCTGACCCCTATGACCTTTTTGAGAAGTCCATGGCTATCTATGAGAGTAGGCGTAAGTACTGGAGCTTTTACTGCAGGTGAAAACACACAGGCACCTGCTGTAGGTATGAAGGATTGGAAATCCTTTCCTCCGAATCCATGAATACCATAAAACAGACAGAAAAGCAAATAAGCAGCAGTTTTTACTGGTTATGAAATCCTACCAATAACTGAGGCTCTGGGCTGTTTCTTGCAAAAGAAGGTTAGTGTCACTTTAGTGGGCCAAAACCCCCAAAAGAAAAAGATGGAGGAAGAAAAACTTATCAATGGATAATTATGACATTATTTGTTTTGTTCATAAGTTTTTTTCCTGGTAGCTGGAGGAACCAGAAGAGGTTTAGTGGCACATTAGCAGCCATGAAAAACAGAGCAAGAGAAACAATCAATGGATGAAAGTGACACACTTCTTGGCTGAGAGGAAGTGTAACATTTTTAATATTTTGTCATCGTGTATTTTGTCCTGCTGGCCTCATGAACTCGGCTTTAGTGTTTGCTCCTTGAATGAACATTCCTGTTTTCATTGGAGTGTTTATTTGGATTGTGGAGTTTCATAAACACTCAGCATCTGTGTTTTTATTTTTATATGGAGGATTTGCTGTTTTCTTTGTGTCACAGCTTTTTAGTCGGTTTAATTCACTTTAATTTATGTAATTTTAACCGCAGCCGGTTTGCTTGTAAAACGTAGTAGATTGTGGCATTTTTGTGGTAATCTTTTCATTTCATTTTGATAAATGGTTCTGCAGAAACGCATCCATGAGTAACACAGTTGATCTCTTCCACACCTAAAATATACAGTACAGCAATAACATAACTCTCTGGCTTGTAATACACTAAAATAGACATTTTTTTCTTCTGATAGCATCGTATTTTTCTTCTTGTGGGAGTTCGAAGCAGTAGAAAGCAAGTTTTGACCTTTATTTATGTGTATGCAGAGGCACTATTTCATCAGGATTTCATGCTTTTGTATATCTACAAGTAAGATTTTAACCTAACAGGTTGATTTGATTTAGCATCTCAAAAATATTCTCAATAGATATGGTGGAAAAATGCAGGAAGAAACACTTGTGCTGATCTTGCATGTTGCCATCTTTACTTGCACACATAAAAATGTCTAGAGAAGTAGCTTCTGTGATCTGACATGGCATCTTTCAGGGATTTTTAATGCTGGTTTTTAAAAACTGCTAGAAGTCAGATGGATTAATTGTTAAATGTTTTAAGTCAAAAATTCCTTAATATTGATGAAAAACTGGCAGATTATTACACTTATTACAAGACATTTTCCCTAGAGTATATACTTATATATACTCCAGAACATATTGTGTTTTTGCAGTGTATATTTTCTCCTTTTAGCTAATTGAAGTTGTTTTAGCCTGTTTTACCAATCAAAAGCACAAATGAAGTAAGAATTGGTTTCCTGTATTTTATATTTACGATACCTTCTGTGGTTTTTTCCGGTTGTAAACCGTTTGTTTTCTGGTAATCCTGTTGGTGGGGATAACATCTGTGTCAGTCTGCGCTCGTGATTCTCGTCGCTCATCATCTCTGCCGAGTCCCAGCAGAGCGCCGCTATGATTAAAACAGACACAATTGGAATAAATTTTTCATTTGCAGCCTCTTGTCTGTGGCCGGGTTTGCCCCGGTGCTTTGCGGATTACGGCGTAGCGTGACGCCACTGACTGCAGATCAGTGCTTACATCCCACCCTGCGTTGTAAATAATGAAGAGCTGTATTACTCTCTGTAAGCATTTCCTGACTTTATGGATGATGCTGAGATTCTGCGATGACATTAGTGCTGACGGCGGAGTTCGAGATTATATGGGAGCGTCTGTTTGTGTCCACCAATTTGTGGATATCTCTGTCTCATTGCTTCGGTTTTCTCTTTCTCTTTTTGCCCAGATCCTGTTCAACCAAGGACGGTTTTTCCTGTGGACTCTACCGGTAGATATAACCTCTATGTGTATTTCTTAAATGGCACATATTATCTGCCATGTTTTCGTTCTTCCATTTGGGTCTCACTTGCTTAAAAAAAAAGAAACACCTAGCCAATTTTTGGCAATCAATTACTGCTTTTTGGTGTCTGAAAAATTAGCCGTGTCAAAATGTAAAGTCACATCAGTCAATCAATCAAATTTGCAACAAGGCGGTTCAACCCCAGCCCTTCACCTAGCAACCCAAGCTGATTTCCAGCACATTTGGTTAGTTGGTTTTACCACTTTACAATGGCTGCTGAAAATGTTTTTTGTTGACTTACCATCCAGAAGCCACTTGCTGCGTTCTTGTTTATTGTACAGGAGGCTCCACTTCTGCTTTTCAAAGATGTGCAGTTGTGTAGTTGCGCATTAATTTGCCACCATTTTCACGTGTGAGTGTAAACGTTAAATTTGTAGAGGCATGAGTGGATTAAAAATGATGAAACGTCTTCTTAAATGATGTTTTAAATTGTTTTATATTTGAATAATTTCTTGTATGTGCTAAAAACAAATTCTTGTGAATTTAAAAGTTTTACATTTTTTAAACAAGATTATAACTGTAAGCAGATTTTAACAGTTTAGATTTTATGAATAGTGAGTTTGTATGACCTCTTTTGATGCTTGTTTTCGCAATGTTAGGTTCTTTGTTACTGTAATCAGTAACGCTTTAGTTACGAATCTGCTTCCACAGACATGATTTAACAGTTTTTTTTCTCCTCATTAAAGGAGCAGAGTACCAGGACATCGAGGTCCACCTGCGCAGACAGAAGTCTGGGTTTGGCTTTCGGGTGCTGGGCGGAGATGAGGCCGGGCAGCCTGTGAGTGTGGATGCACGTGAGAAGGCTCGTATGGCGATGGGTGTGAAACCCTGTCATTTTCTACTCTCTAATCCACTCCACTCCCACTGTGCGTCCCTAACTCCTGACCCCTCACCTTTAGCCCTGAGAGAGTGCTGGCTTGCTATTGATAGGATCCCACCAACATACAGTGTCTTAAAGAAACTTTCTCACATTTTACCACATCAACTTTAGTAAAATTTATTGGTACTTTTTTGACAGACCTACACAAATAACGCATAATTTTGAAATATAAATGAAAAAAAAACATGGTTTTTAAAATAAAACCTCTGGAAAATTATGGTTTGAACTTCTATCCAGCGCTACTAAGTTTGGCAGAGAACCCTAAAATTGTACTTGAGTAAGAGTAGCACTACTTCAATGTACTTTTTTGAGTAAAAAAGTATTTTTGTGTACTCTAAATGAACATCTTAAGATAATAATGTTTGTTACGGTTTTCCATTGTGCGAAAATGGCCTTCAGTTTTCAGCAGACGGTATTTTTACACTACTGAGATTCAACTCGGATGGATGCTATTTTTTTCAGTTGGCTCACGATTTTTGAACGGATTTTTCTGGTTCTTTCATTACAAATGTGCTGTTTTATAAAAACAGCACATTTTTATAACTGCACTGTTTACATTAAACAAGAAACACAATTAAAATCACATGCGAAAAAGTTGAATTGAAAAACATCCTCCTACCACTTCCTGTAATTATCTTTGTTGTTTCTGCCAGTAGTAATATTCATTTATTGATTACGACTTGTGTGAATGTGAATGTTGCCGTCTAGCAGATTTATTTTTATGGTTAGGCAGATTAAGAAGAAGTAAAACCAAAACCATGTTATCACTTTTCTCCCGCCTCAGTTATTTTGTCTTAGTCTGTCACTAATATCACAATTAAATGTGAAAAAGTTCAAATAAAAAATATTTCTGCAAGGCACTGTATGTAAATTTAGAAAATTTTATTTCTGAATAACAGTCACTCTAACATCTACTCAATTCAACACGATGCCAAGAATCCATTCATTAAACTCCCTGTGTCATGGAACAAAATGAACAGATTCTTATTGGAGCAATCATAGAGAAGAGTCCGGCGGATCTCGACGGGCGATTACGACCGGGAGACGAGCTGCTGTTCGTGGACGGGATCCCAGTGGTGGGGAAGGCGCACAGATACGTCATCGACCTGATGCACGCGGCGGGGCGCAACGGACAAGTCAGCCTGGTCATCAGGAGGAGGACGCAGGCAGGAGGTAACGAGCCACAAGGGTTTGCAGCTTCTTCTCTCCCTCTACTAGTCATTTCTCAAACTTTTTCAGTCCAACGGTCACTTACAGATTCTAGGTAACAGTACATTGGCAGTCGGATGTGGATTAACATTTAGAATATTTCCAGACACCAAAACATTAAGTTATGACCAAATAAAATAGTTTTTTTAAGCATTTGAGACCCAAATGAAAGTAAAATAAAAAGGTCCAAAATGTGAATTTTGCATTTAGGTGCCCTTTAAAAAGTCTTCTTTTTGAAATAAAAAAGCCTAAATCACACTCCCGCCCTAAAACACAACACTCTTCCTCTGATTCCAAAACCACCACGCTTCTCATCACCCGTCCCACTCCGCTCGCCCTCTCTGCCAATCTGTTCCCACCAAACGCTGCTGTCTCACTCATGCCTGACCTCTTCTGCGACCCCAACTTCCAATCTAATCGTCTGACTCCCACCGGCACTTTACCAAGTGTCAGACTTTGCTCTCTGCACCCGGCCCGTGAGTGCGCCTCCACCCACTACTCAGGATTTTGCACATTTTTGGCCATTATTTTCCTTTTCAAAAGAATGTTTTCCAGTCTAGTTGGGAAAAGAAGGCAATCCAACATGTGGGCGGTGTTTACGGCTGGAAAAATCTGGATGAAACTCAATTCTGTCCATTACTTGCAACATAATAGCTAAATTTTCTGGTGTAGAACAAACAGCTTTCAAAGTCTGACATCCATTCAGAGACTCTGATAAAGAACTAACTAATGTTTTTAAATATAGAAATGCAAGCTTTTACCAATATGTTTTTAAATCTGCTTGTTGGAAATTGTATTTTTTGTTTCGGTTTTTTTGCATCATCTTCAAGATCCATCTTCTTTTTGTTAAATTTTACATTTATTTTTTTATTTCATTTATTTATTTCAAACAGGTTTCTGAAAACAAAGAGTAGAAATGCCTCTTTAGGCTGTAAATTTTGCAAATCTCTTCTGTTACTTTGTTGAGACTTTCGAAGCTTTATTTTTAAAACCTTTATTTTTTTTTTCATTAAATGTATGTAGTGCATACTTGTGAACAGAGCTGAAATGATTAATCGGATTAATCGTGATTAATCTGTTTTTGATCTATTCTCAAGTGGCATAGTTTTAGCTTCACCTGGCTCAAATTCTGTAAAATTGTTTTCATTTTCTTATGTATTCAAAGAGTTGTTTTGGATTGTGACTAATCATTAAACGAACTAAGATCTCTACCGCCCCCTGCAGGTGAGTCGTGTCCAGAAAACAGCCGCAGTCCGGGCTCCGCCTCCACGCAGCACAGCTCACCTCATAGCGACTACAAATACGCAAACAGCACCAGCCAGGCTCCCAACAGCGGCGCGGGCAACGCCTCCGCTACGTCAGACGGGACGTCTGCCGCCAACGCAAAGCCGAGCGACATCACGATCAGCAGGAAAGAGAGCGAAGGCTTCGGCTTCGTCATCATCAGCTCGCTCAACCGACCCGAAACGGCTGCAACCAACAGTGAGTCTTGGGTCTGTTACGATTTTATGTTCTGATATGACTTCTTAGAGTTTCCTAGAAATATAAAATACTAAAATTCACTAAAATTTAAATCAAATATTTCAGCAGTGGGAGAGCTTTAGATATTAAACTGGAATATCTAAAGAAAAGAATCAAATACCCAAGAAAATAACAATTGGCTAAAATCCACAGAGATATCTTTTCTTTTTTTGTTGTTGGACTACCTTTAGCAAACAATTAAATCTCTGAATGCAGAGCACATGTCCTCTGTTCCTTCCTTGACAAGCTAAAATGATCAATGATTAAATACGGGCTCAAACTAATTTAGCAATAAATTAACTGAAGCATCCAGACTCTCACTCACATGTGTGACCTCAAATGATTGATTGTGTTGAATCGATTATTGAAATAGTTTTTGACTACTTTAGTAATTGATCAATCATTAACTGGAGTATACAGACTCTAGCATAAGACGATTAATCGTTAGCTAGAGTAGACAGACTCAAACGTCTCATTTCATGAAAAGATTAACCATATTGAACTGGTTATTTAAATTATAGTCAACTAATTTACTTCTCGATTAATCGCTAACGGGAGTATACAGACTCGGGTATGAAGCGATTAATCAGATTGTATTAAATCAACAACTGAAATCATCGTCAATTAATTTAGCAGTCGATTAATTGTTAACTGCAGTATTCAGACTACTTTCAAAAAGGCCATTTTCAGAAATAACACAGACAGAGCAGTAATTAACAAAAACATACACAATCTGAATTTAATATAAAGAAAAAACTTTTTAAATATGTTTTACCCATAACATCTAACATGGATATTTTAGCATCCAATTATTAATCAGCAAAAGCAAAAATTAGATAATTCATTTACCACTGAACAAGAGTTCCCAAAGGAATTTTAGACATTAAAATGTTTATTTTCTTATTTTAAAAATAAATATAATTCTTTATTTGCATTGTTTTTGGTTTGTCCATGATCCATACTGGTGTAAAGTCGTGGTAAACATTTGTATTTAATATCGTAAAATGTGCGTAGAGGTCGGAGAACTTCAGGAATTTGGTTCTGTCTGAATAAAAGTGAAGCAGGTTTCATCAATAATCCAAACCCTCCCACTGCATGTCAGTCAGACACATCTTCACCCCGCTGCTGCAAGCATCAGCGCTTCGCCCACATGCATGAAAATATCCTGGATTTCTTACGTAAGCTTCCAGTGAAAAGCAAAATGAGCGAGGCAGAGACACGCTCACTCATTCAGGCGGTGAGGCAGAGACGGGAGCGGTCCTTTCCAGTAAACACTCACCTGCATCCGAACCCAACAGCTGTGCCCCATAAAATCGGCCGGATCATCGAGGGCAGCCCGGCCGACCGCAGCGGGAAGCTGAAGGTGGGAGACCGGATCCTGGCGGTCAACAGCCAGTCCATCGTCAGCATGCCGCACGCCGACATCGTCAAGCTGATCAAGGACGCCGGCCTGAGTGTCACTCTGAGGATCATCCCACAGGAAGGTAAGAAAACATCAACACACACAAAGTCAGCATTTGGGAAATGTTCTCCTGTGTTTTAACATTATGCTACATTCACATTTTGCATGTTTTTCTATTTCCATTTGGGTCTCTTCTGTTTCTAAAAACAACCCAACTGCTCAAAACAACCACCCAACATTTTATAAGGCAATGGGGTAATAGTTTTTGGTGCCTGGAAAATGACCCGTTTCAGAAACCTTCCAAATATAAAGTCACAAATCAGAGAAGCCCAGCCTGTTACCTAGCAACCACAGTAGAGTTCCTCCTGTTACCTAGCAACCCAAGCAGAACTCCAGCACATTTGGTCAGCTGGTTTTACCACTGTATGCGCTGTATAATGGCTGCTGGAAAAGACAGCCGTTTTGTTGTTGATTGAAACCAGTTGCTGTTTTGTTGTTGGAGACTCCAGATGTGCTTTTCAAAGATCCATGATTGCATAATTGCGTATCTGTTTGCTGCCATTTTCACGTGCAAATGTAAACGTTGAGTTCCGGGTCGTGGCCAGCAACAGCTTGCTTGGATTTAAAGTGACAGGACGTATTAAATTAAGTTTTTTGTTATTTGTAAAACCATTGTCAAAGTATAACTGCACAAGATATTCAACGTTTTACCGCAGTGGTAAGACTCCTTTTTTTGTGTCGGAGTTCTCCCAAAATTACAACTTCATTCTCGTAATATTAAGACTTTATTCTCGTGATGCTATGACTTTATCCTCATAATTTTATTTATTTATTTAGCCTGGCTTTGATACACTATCATATATTGCAGTATTTTCTCTAATTTTTGTTTTTATTCGCAGAGCTCAGCAACCCTCCGTCGGCGACGGCCTCAGAGAAGCAGAGCCCCATGGCTCAACAGCACAGCCCAAAGGCCCAGCCCAACGCTGCAGCCTCCCAGTCCAACCCAGCGCCAGCAGAACCTCACCCCTCTGCTGCTCAGCCCAACCCAGCTCCCCATCACAGCCCTGTGACCCAACTTCCTGTTCCTCCTCCTCAGTCCTACACCCACGACGGCAGGTAGAAAACTATTCCACTGTGAAACATTTTTTAATACCTTTTTTTAGGCTGATCTTCTCTGAATACAGTAAAAGCCAGATATTCTGATTTGCTAATTTTCCTATGTGAATGATCGGGTCATGTGTTGTTTCCACAAGCTTAGAGCTGAAACAATTAATCATGAGTAATTGATTCTTGAAATAATCCTCGACTAATTTAGTAATTAATTAATGGTTAACCTTAGTATACAGACTCAGAAAAAGGCAAATTGCTGGAAGATCAACATTCTCAGAGCAGTAATTAAGTCAAAATTGTACAGAAATATACATTTTGCATTCAAGATAAAAATAAAATCCCTTGTCTGGATCTACCTTTTGAAGTGGCATAATTTAGCTTCACCTGTAATATTCTGTAAAATATTTGTTTCTTTGAATATTTTAATAATTTCTAATGTTGTTTGAAAAAGTCCGAACTGAAAAATATGCAGAATGTGACTTTTTTTTAAAAATTTGATTAATCGATTAATCATTAGAGAAATAAATAGAATAATCAATAACTAACATTATTTGCAGTCCTAATCAAGCATCTTGAGTTGGTTTCCTGGAATTTTGGTCCATTCCTCTGGATAAAAATATTGTAATTACGACCGGTTCTTTTGCTCTGTCCACACATTTTCTGTCTGACATTTTGGATTTTACTTTTGCACAGTAACCTCACCTATTCACAGGCTCACATATTCGTTGACACAATGCTAGTTGACATTTTTTTGGTTGCCAATCCAAGAAAACCACTGATGTTCCTTGTCACCAATTGGCTGGAAATAAGGAAGACTATAGGAATTAGCTTCTGTTGTAATGTCTGCTGTTCATATTGAAGTATATTTGGTTACAAGCGGAATCTCAAGTATTCAATGCGTATGTAAATATCTGGTTTCATAAAGTGTATGTGAGCATTGGATTTTATCTTTCCTCATGCTGTTCTATATATTTCCTCTTTCTTGCCATTTTAAATTTCACCTTCACTCTCCATCACACTCTGTCTTTTGCTTTTTAACATTACTTTACTTTTAGAGACTACTAAATCATTTATGGTGGATGTATTGCTTCTTTAAAAAGATGGGTTAAATATTTAACCAAGAACTACAAAGTCCTAAACCGTCACTGTCACTGATATATTTTTATTAACATTTCATGGGATTTTTGCTGGAGGAAGACTTTTAATTTTCTGAATCTAGTCGTTTTTTTCTGGTTTCCATCAGAAATAAGCATTATCTATTTCCTCAGAGCTCTTCCTTCAGTCTGGGGTGTCTGTTAGTTACAGATCTGAGGTGAAGGCCAGACAAGACGTAAAACCAGACATTAGACAGCCTCCTTTCACGGATTACCGGCAGCCACCAGTGGATTACCGGCACCCTCCTGTGGCGGACTACAGGCAGCCGCCCACGCTAGACTACAGACATCCACCGCTGCTGGACTACCGGCCGTTCGCCATCCCAGACTACAGGATGCCTCCGGTTCAGGTAAGGAGGCAAATACAGTTTTATCTTCTCCCATATACTGAATTCATGATTGCCCTGTTCTAGACACTCGCCACTTAAAGATCAGTTTATTAGTATTCATTATTTTTGCATTTGTAATGATAACCCCTGATGGTTTTCATTAATTAGGACATTAGCTAAAGATTATTCTGTCAATTAATCATTCATAATTTAAAATAATTGTCATATTCTGTACATTTTCCATTTAACCATTAAGCCTTTTTATACAATAAAAGAAATACTTTAAAAGATACAACTAACAAATAGTTCAATTCATTTTTGAATAAGAAAATATTTTTGCATAGAATGCAATAACAAATCATTCCTAAAATATATGTTTCATAATTTGTTGCAAAAGATGCATCTGATAATTATTGTAGTTACCGATTAATTAATTAATTTGATGATTAATCATCTAAACCGATCTAATGGATCAGAAAATGTAATGTTTAAATTGTTGACTGTGCGTTATATGACTGTGTATTTTTGTGTTTCTATGATTTAAAGCACTTAAAACTGCCGTGTTGCTGAAATGTGTGGTCCAGATAAATCTGATGAGTCACTTGAGTGATTAATCATGAATAATCTGTAGATCTGTTTAACCAGTTAATCGCCACAATAATCAATTAATCGTTACCTGCACCCCGATAGGTTTTAATTGTTTCCTAACATTTTCTCATGGATCATTCTCAAATTCCTCAGAGTATTTCTGTCTGTTTCATCACATTTGTAAACAAACACAGAACTAAATCCAACTGGGTGTGACGGTTGTTTCAGCTTTCGCAGGACTTCGACTATTTCACAGTGGAGCTGGAAAAAAGTGTGAAGGGCTTCGGTTTCAGCATCCGAGGAGGGCGGGAGTACAAGATGGACCTGTTTGTCCTACGGCTGGCGGAGGACGGACCGGCCATCCGCAACGGGAGGATGAGGGTGAGCTTGAAGATAAATTTTATTATTATTTATTATTATTATTCGAGTCGTTTGACAAAGCTGTAACTCCCTCTTTAAAGGTTAAGCTGCTTTCTATCCATCTGGATTACATGGCGGTCACTCAGTGTAATTGTGCGATGCTATCAAAGCTGCTGCAGGAACTTTTCTCATGTCGTATTAAAACCTCTGGATTTTTCTCCTCCCATATTTCTAAAACTCATCCCTCTGCTAAGTTGTTTTTCCATTTTATAAGTGAAAATGTCTTGATCCACTGGCAGGTTATTTCCTTCATTTTTCCTTTTTTTAAATCAATATAAAGAAATTTTTTACTTCAAATAAACTTTTATATTTTGCTGAAAAGTTTCTTGTAAGTTTTGTCTTTTTTAGTGTACTAAGAAAATTACATTAGAAACTAGACCAAACATAATTAAGATTTTGAGATTTTTGCAGTGCTCAAAGTAGCACTGAGTTACCAATGCCAGAAAAAAAACCTTTAAAAAATCAGCTATTATATTGACTTATCAGGCTCCATCTGCAGTTTGGACATTTTCTGATTTACTGCTACCGAAATACATTAAAACTTCATCCGTGGCTTTTTCTCTATCCGTCAACCAACTCAAGCCTCTGCTCTCTGCTTCCTTTTCTTGTATGTTTTACAACTTTTACGCTCTGGGCTGATGGTCCCAGTATGATCTACATTGGTTATCTGTAATGAACCTGTCAAAGATAATGTGTGCAAAATGCCCCCAAGGGAGGCCCCCTTCCTGGATGCTGCAGTCAACACAGTCCAGCGAGCCTGGAGGGAGGTAGGCTAGCGGAGAGGGAGGAATCCCTTTGGGGGGCTACTTAAAGTCAGCTCACAAGCTGCTGTAAAATATGATCATATGGGAGTATGCACTGCATTGAGCAAGAGACTGGAGTTGTCTTGAAAAGTACCTAAAAAGCAGCAGTTTAGCACCAGTTTGGGAAAATCCATGTACCTGTCCACTTGAACCGCTTAGGAAAGGGTTATTATACATGACATGTTCATTACATTTTTGCATAAAATAAGAATGAAATGTCACTTTAAATCCAAATACGCTGCTGCTAGCCACGGCCAGATTTCAACATTGACACTCAGTCGCATGTGGAAATGGCTGAAAACAGATGTGCAAATATATCACCATACATCTTTGAAAAACAGGAGTGGAGCCTGCTGCACAACCAACAAAAATGCAGCAAGTGGTTCCTGGATGGTAAGTCAACAGCAAAACGCTTGTCAGTGTGTACAGTGGTAAAACCAGCTGACCAGATGTTCTGGAGCTCCACTGGGGTTACTAGGTAACGGAGCTGGGCTTGGCTGAGGTTGACACCAAAAATCTTGAACTTATTGCCAAATAACAGCTGGGTGTTTTTTGTTGTTTGCTGATGGCCCAAAGCGTAAAAGCTAAAGGAAAACTGCTTATTGTAAGTTTTCTTCCATCTGCACTGTCTTGTTTCTGTGTTTTGTTTCCTGGTCTTAAATTCCTTTCGTTTGGTTCACGTTGTGTTGCTTTTTGACGTCTTCTGGGCTACTTCCTGTTGTCTTGCAGTTTCTAAAGTTAATTCCTGATGTTTACAAGTTGAGCAGTAATCAGACCTGGCTGCTGCAGCTTTTCTAAAACAAGCAGTTAATTCCTGATTCAGTAAGAAGAGCAATTCCTTTTTCATATCGGGAAAGGTTGTTTTGGATGTCTTTTCCTCTTAATAAACAAAATTCAATTATGCATTTGCTCTGGTTAATTTTGCCTGAAACAAAACAAACTTATTTGGGCATAAACACCTTTTGGTCGCTCTGGTAATAAATTAAAAGTTTATATTTATCATTTTTGAGTAATTTTCAGTTTCATTGAGTTGAAAAAATTACCTGTAGTGATTTAAAACACACTGAGGAAATCATATTATTCTAAAGACTCCAATCTGTTGAGAGGAAATAACCACCGGTAAAATTTGTGCAGATTTTCTAAGACATACTTATAATAAAACCCTCTTAATTTTCAAGTCACGCCATCTAGGACCAGCATTAGCCTGGTCTTTATTTAACTTGTATTTCCCCCTTTCACTAAGATGAAAATTGAGATTGCTCTGCTGTTTGGAGGTCAGGATTAATGAGTAAATCGTCCTGCCTTCCTCCCCTTCCCGCCTCACTCCAGACCACCGTAATGCTACCTAATATCCCCCCTCCCTCCTTTGAACCAATTCCCCTCCTGACTTTTAAATTGCTCCGAACATTACGGGATGAGATCTCCATTTGTTAGCATAATTGTACTTCACGTTTTGTCCTGTTCCCAATGAATCCCCCCATTAGTCATCCTTAGAGCTGAGAAGTGTCAAGTGCATCAGGGACTGGGCCAGAACTGATATTCATTGGATGATAATCAAAATGCTGCAGCTTCTGTCACCAAGTATTTTACTCGTCTTTGGATATTTTTTTGTTTTAAGGAGCAAAATAATAGCAACAAAACCTCAAGGGAAAGTACTGTCTGCTTATTGTTAGTTTTCCTCCATATGCACTGTCTTGTTTCTGTTTTGTTTCCAATAATTTCATCACTACGAATGCAAGAGCTGCTGGAGTTCACATTTCTTTCTTTTTACATTTATACAATAACTTGTACACTTTTTTTTTCACCAGCTCAAATCCTTTCAAGTTTATTTCCTACCAAGTTTATTCAATTTAAACTATATTTATTGCCATTTGCTGGAAGGTAAATTGTCCCAGATGTTATTGCAATAAACAATAACATTCTTGTTTTGAGACCATTTTCAAGTGGCATAATGCAAGAATACATTCTCAAAGATCAATAATCAACTTTAAATTCTGATCAACATTTTAACACTGGAACTGGAAGACATTTTAAATATCCAAAATAAATAAGCAAAAAAAACAAATAAAATTAATGTTGAAGTCTCCATCAACAAATTTCAGATGACAAAATTATTGAGCACATTTTAATTTATCATGCAGTTAATTAATTTATTTATTGCTTATTCCATTTCAGTCCAAATTTACACAACTTCAGTTGTTTTGTTTTTTCGGTATAATCTTTTACACAATTTACTGTTTGATCTCCACTGCAGATTTCTGTTTCCGCTTGGTCAAAAGACCTAAAATAAAAACAAATTAGCTGTTTTGCTTTTACCATTTTCCTAATATTGATGATGAGGAAAAAGTTGATATTTAAATGCTAACCTTTCATATTGTTATGTTAAAAGTTTGGAGAGGTAGAAGCTGCTTTGAGCCTAAATTTGTCCCATTTTCCTCACAGTTTGGGATATTTTAGGAAGTGAAATATTTCCACTCTGCTTTGTTCAGTCCCGGGCTTCTAACTGCACAATACTTTCAAAGCCCAGCTTACATTTCCCACAACAACCAATTAGCCGGCTAACATAAATAAAGAGTTCTCTCCTCACCCGAAATGTTTCCCTCTCTCCAGCTGATTCTTACAACTCTCTTATCTTTTCGCCTGACATCCAGGTCGGGGACCAAATCATTGAGATCAATGGGGAGAGCACCAGAGACATGACCCACGCCAGGGCCATCGAGCTCATCAAGGCCGGGGGCAGACGGGTCCGTCTCCTCCTGAAGAGGGGGACGGGCCAGGTCCCAGAGTACGGTGAGGACCTGGAGGACATCTGCTTCATTCCTCTCTTTTTAACACTCCAACTGTACAATCTTACTTACTGATAAAATACTCTGGCATGCATTTATATCCATAATAATCTGTCTTTTATATTCTTTAATCTCAATAATAACTGCTTCCTTTTCTGTCTTGACTAACACTAGCTTATTTTCTGTCCATTTCAGTGATCTATCACTAATTGATTGGTCTAGGTTGTTACTTCCCCTTCTATAGGAATGGTATCTTCCAGTCTCTCCATGTGCATGAAAAGTGACAAGCATGGCTCCCCCTATTTCTTCCTAATGGGCCACTCTAAAGACACGGTTTGTTACCATACCAATGTTTTCTCTTCACTTAACCCTGCCTTTCTGTGTTGTTCCATTGTGTGTTGCTGGTTTTTGTCGTTTTAACCTGATTTTAAAACACAATCCTGCCCCAGAGCTAGGGGCTGAAACGATTAATCGTGATTAATCGCCAACTAATTTAGCAATCAGTGAATCATTAACAAGAGTACACGGGCTCTAAAGGTTATTTGGTGAAAGAACAACACAATGAAAGCCGTAATTAATCCAAAACTGTATGAAAAATAGATAAATTCTGCTTTTAAGATAAAAAAAAAAAACCTTTGTTCTACTCAAAACTCCTCATGGCATCGTTTTATTTTCATCTGGAAAAAAATCCTGTATTTAGCGCTTTCTCTATCCACTTATAAATTGGACAATTAATCCAAAAGTAAACACATCAGCTCTACAGTTTATTGTAGAGATTTAAGATTTTCACATCTTGATGTCAAGGGTTTATTGTTGTTGTATTTCAGGCAATAAAATGTTTATTTTCTTAATTAAAAAAGGAATTTAATTGTTTATTTGCATCTATCTATAAATGTATTTTTTATTACTGTACAAATAGTCTAAAGTGAAAAATCTGAAAAACATCCCCTTTTTGGAATCACATTAATCAATTAATCGTCTGAATAATCAACAACTAAAATAATCGTTGACCGAAAAACACCCACAAATGTTATATTTCTGCTTTTGATGTAATCAAGAAAGCTCCAGGAGGTTGTAAAAATCTGTGAACGTAACTTGTTTCATTACTGAATCAGACTCCAACAGTTTTTAAAAACTAAATCTGAACACAACTTGAATCAGCCGGAGTTGAATGTTAAATATCATACTGGATTATTTACAACGTAAAATCAACGAACAGCTTGTACCAAGCCTCTGAAGGAACTTTTTTCTTCTTTTTTTTTTGTTTTTTGCAACATTGCCAGTAATTAGGATTCCCTGCTGACTCCTGTGGCTTCATCATCAGTGTAATACTCATTGTTTTTCCCCCCCAAAAAAGGTCATATGAGTTTGTTTTTTATATTTTGAGTAGAAGATATTTCAGAATAAAATAATTTCTTTGGTACAGATGTGGACTTTTCAGCTAATTTTGAGGTCAGTTCTTTTGGAAATCCCTTCTAGCCAGTTTGGATCAATGTCCAGTTAACACCACCAACTGTTTCAACAGTTAAAAACCAGAACCATCAAGGGTTGAGATCATCATAAACTGGAAGCTCCTGGGACACCATTATTATAACGACCCACCTTAAAACCAGTCTGACCACAACATGGGAGAAACCTGGACAAAATTCTGACCTAAAACTCTCATTAAAACTGGTTTTAGGTTGAATTTAACAGGTTGACACTGAACTTCTCGGCCCAAAGCCCCTTAGATTTACCCGGTTTGGAACTGGTAGATTAATCTGAAAAATCTGGTCATTTCCATAAAAACCAACCCATTTATGGATTACTAATTTAAAGTTTAACTCTACTATTGCCAGAACTCAAACATTTCCCACACAAAGAATAGAACTTTCAGTTCGTTACAGTATTATATCTTTAGGCTTGATGTGTATTTTATGATTATTAATAAGTGATTGTGGTATATTAGCTAGCGCTGCTATTAGCTAAGCTAACACAACGGTGGTTGATTAGCTAATTTAAACAACTGCTCTTCTGATAATCTGTCAGAGTTGTTTAGGTTGCCTTTTATAATTTTGAACTGAACCAAATCACACACAATTACACAGCACTTCTACATGTTATGTTTGTCATAGTCAAGCTAGCGCACTTCCTCAATATTTATTTTATAACTAGAACTTTTTCCCGACCTTGTTATCTAGTTGTTGTAGTGTTAATAATTAGTGACAAATTACTGTTTCCCTTTTCTGTTTATATATATCAAGTTAAGATTCAGCACATTATTTTGACAATAGCTAAAACCAATGGTAATCATCGTTAGCAAGCTGTTTTTTAGGTTTTGCTCAAGGCATTCATATTTGAACCTGTAGAAATGATTTAGATTTTGAGCAAATCGTACACTTACTTGTTTTTAAACCGTTATAATCTGAAAATGTCTGCAGCCAGAAAAATGACTTTTTCACTCCTCTGTTTGGATTTACATTGTGTACATTTTTTTTTAAATTAATCTACACACAGTTGTTCCATTTGGCCTGAGCTCAGACGTAAACAGCATGTGGGCATTAATCACATCCATAAAGCCGGATCTGCAGAGACTTCATGGCTGCAGGTGGATTTGTGTAAAAGCAGTAAAAAGATTTTAAACAGGCCGTTATTTAAATGCAAGCACCTGCAGCCTCTACAGGTCCTTTCAGCACCTGCTTACCTCCAGTCCAAGTTTCCCTTCCCACCAGCCTCATTGTGAATCTCAGTATGCATAACAGGGAATTAGGGCAGCAATGTTTTTGTGAATTTGGGTCAGACTCAGAAAATTAAAAGGAATAAATTCTGTAAACATTTTTTTATCTGTAGGCACATTTCCATCCTCACTTGAGTTAGAATAATCAGAGTGAAATTATTACGGACATACTTTTCTTTCAACGGAAGACGTTGAGTACAATACAAGTATTTGTCTTTTTATCACCAAGTTTTAAAAATAAGCAGACATACATTTATCCAGACTTTAATTCATCTTGGCTAAAGATAGAAAGCATTTCAAAAGAATGTGACCCAAATCCAGAACTTAATAACTGAATAAACGTGTCACAATAACGAATTTTGATGGAATTTTGGAATAAACCATAATATTTACCTAATACTTACCTAAGTGGTTAAGCTTAGTGAAAAATAATAAGAAAATTATGAAACTGGCTGAAAATACAAAATAAAAGCTAATATAAATACCAAAAACAATGAAGAAAAATGAGATAAAAACCAATATTAATGAATGCTAAATTAAAAAATTGTTTTATCAGAATTAGAGTTGCTTATTAGACTTAAAACAGAGAATACATTTTGTTCAGTGGAGCCCAAAAGAATTGGAAAACAAGATACTTTAAATTGCTTGACTTTAGTTTCACTTTTAATTTCTTGGCCTGTAAATACTTCTGACTTGACAATTTTAGTTTGGACACCTCTGCTCTAGATTAATCTTAACGTCATGTTCTTTTGTCTTTCCCATTTTGGATTTAGGCTAAGAGAATTAGTTATGTTTACAGGAAAACAGGAAGTTATGGATTACTAATTTAAAGTTCAAATGGGAATAAAAATGTACAATATTATGTATCAATGCAGAAAGTCTTCAGTTTTTCATCCAAAGTAGAACAGAAAAAGTTTTATTACAGCATTTTGTAGTTTTTTTTAATAAAGTCCCTCTAGCTCTTCTGCCTGAGCTAACAGTAGGGATGTATAATTATATCGATTCTATGATATTTATCAATTTTTTCCACCCTCAGAAAGTATCAATTTTTCATTCATGAGCATCGATACGTTAAACCACAGGAGCTTATTCCGTCTTTTTAACATGTCTGTTTTGTGACGGCGTTGCATTAAGTCTCCACCTCCCCAGTCTCACTTTCATCTTGTGTTTAAAGTGCACATTATGAACTACACAAAGTTTTTAAATTGTGTTAATAGGTCAAGTAAAACCGGAGTTATGCTAAAATAAATAAATCGTATTTTTCCGAATGTCAGAGAAATGTTAAAAACCGGCTTTTCCAGTTATGTGAAAGGGAAATGAGCTTCCAAATGTAAAAAACGAAACGCAACATTAGATTCCTTTGTTTTTGGAAATCTCAGATCTTCAGTAAAAAACGGTGGGCTGTATTTTGTTGCGAAGAAACGAAGTAAAGTTGCAGAAGTAACCGTGAAAGAGAAGTGGAACGGAGCAACAGCAAAAGCAGTGAGATTGCAAAATGAATGCAAAGTTTGGATATCGGAGCGACTAGTGGGATCCACTTGGTAATTTGTTTTTAGCTTAGAGGTTTCTGTTCTGTACATAAAGGATTATGTGAGGAATGAACACGCAGCATGCAGTGTCTCTGTTTTGAGCTGGAAAACGAAGAGGAGAAACCTGCAGCCAGAATCCGCAACACAGTGAGGATTGTCATGATGACGATGGAGGATCGATCTTTCTTATTAGCAACTGACAAAGAGTATCAGAGACTGAGAGCTGACAGTAGAAACTACCATGCCATTAATTTACCCTGCAAACACCTAAGTTTCTGTGATACTACTAATGCGGGTTTTGTTGTAACTGAGTCTCTTAGAGCTGGTGCAGTACACATTCCTGCCCCCTGCCTGGGCGGCTGGAAATGACTGATGGCCAAGGGACCGAGGCTTAGTGGTGCAGAAACAGGAGCTAACAGTCTGTGAGAGCAGGGAGTTGTTCTTTTTTTTTCCTCATTTTTTTTTGGATAAAAGCTTTGTGGATTCACGGTGAGGGGGCGTACTCAGACCTTAGACGGTTTTCATGCTCCCGAAACGCCGCCCTGTTGGGCCTGTCGTCCATTTCATTAAACCTGGATTCGATTTTCCGCCAAGCTTTCAGATTGTCCTCGGCCTTAAAGAGAGCTGTGGGAGGCAGATTGATGTTTTCTGAAAGTAGAGCTGCTCTCCGACGCATGTGGATGAAGGAGCCAGAGCTGCTTTAATCTTGATACTTACAGCTTTTAGAAATTGACTGATAGTGTGATAAGACATGTTAAATTATATTCAATTAGTCTCTGAATCCATCAAAATTCAAACTAAAACATAATTTCATCACATTTTAGGTCAAATTATTGATAATTTGTTTTGTACATTTTTCTGTCTTTAAGTAAAATTCACATTTTGCAAATTTTTGTACATCCATTTGGGTCTCAATTGATTTTAAAAATGGTGCAAATACTTTAAGCCTCCAACCAAACCACAGTTTCTGGCAATAAGTTCTTGTTTTTTTTAAACGTTTCAATTATTTCTGGAACAATTTATCCTGTAAAATTGATTGTGTTAGTCTTCAATGGACTTCCATTACTACACCATTATCTTGACTTGAAAATTGTCTCAAAACAATATTATCATTTATTGCAATAAGTTCTTGGATAATTTATGGTCCAGTAAGATTTGCCATATTGACAGGCCTCAGTGCACCTGCATTACTGAGCCATTATAATTTTATTAGTTGAAAATATGAGCAGTGTTATTGTCTATCACAATAATTTCTGGGCAAATGCATTATCCAGTAAAACTTATTGTATGGTACTTGTGATAAAAAACTTGCATAGCTATATCATTATATTACTTGGAAATGGTCTGAAGACAATTTTATCGTTTATCATAATCATTTCTGACACTTTTTATTGTCCAGTAAAATTTGCTGTTGTGAAAAGCGTAGGTATACTTGCACTACTGTGCCATTATTATTTTATTAGTTGATAATAAAAACAATATTATCATGTATCGCAATAATTTCAGGGAAACTTTGTCTTACTGCATAGTACTTGCGATTATCATTACAGTATTGAAAATGGCTTCTAAACAATAATATTATCGTTTATTGTAATCATTTCTGGGACTTTGTATCGTCCAGTTATGTTCTCTGCAGTGTTTTTGTTGTGCAGTGGTTTTCTGGGTGTGGACTGGTGTTTATTTTTGTTTTCTGACTGCATGTCTTCTTGTTCCAGACAACGCCACCCCTTGGGATAGTCGCCCTTCAGCCTCCCCAAGCCTGTCGGAAGTAGGCCCTCCCACTGATGGCCTCTCCATGCCAACGCCTTCATCTCATTTGGCCCCGGCCCACGACCCTCCTCATTTGCCTCCTGTAGACGCCGCCCGGGACGCCAGCGGGACGGAGCGTTCCAAGAGCCCCCAGAAAGCCGAGCTGCTGCTGAACAGAGACGCCATGAGTCAGGGGAGGAGAAACGCCAAAAGAGACGGTGGCAGGTCCACCCATAAGGGACACAGGCTGCAGCAGCACACTACTGACAGAGATGGGGTCAAGGAGGGACAAGACGGGGAGTCCAAACCTTTGAGGAGCACCAGAGGACGGTCCAAGGAGAGGACTCACTCTCCCGGCGGCTCTAAGATCCCACACACAAACGGGAACGGCAGGGAAAGCGCAGAACGAAGGGGCAAGAGCACCAGCAGCGCCACCGGAGCGAGGAGGAAGGCCACGGTCTCACCCGGTCCGTGGAAGATCCCTGGATCGGACAAGCTGCCCAGCACGCTGCACGCAGGCGCGTCCACGCTCGGCAGATAACGCCGCCGCAGCAGCAGCTGCAGCGTCCACATTCGTCCGGACTGAACCACCACCTCCACATCCTCCGACAGACAAACATGAAGCGGTGCGGGCTTATCTGGACCATGAGTTTTAAAACTTTTATTTATACTACTGTATTTTAAATTATTCTGAAGCATTATGTTACACCCACCACCTTAAAAACTGGAAAGTCATCCACTTTAAGAAGAAAGAGCAATCAGTAGCAGAGCGAGAACTTTCTGAAACCTCTGAACTCCGGAGCTGAGCTGGACAGAAAGCAGGCTTGGATTTTTTTATATATAAATATATTTACGGTTCAAATTGTAGTCTATTTTATGAAGTGGAATGTTGACAGGTGACCTATTATACTTCCTTGAACCAGTTAGGACAGGTTTATGGTTTATACAAAACATGTTTATTAAATTTTTTGCACAAAATCATTCTTAAAAAATGAGAATCAGCTGTGTTGGGGTCTCTGCCACTTAAAGTCCAATCCATGACCCCAACTCAGCGTTTACACTTGCACATGAAAATGCCTGCAAACAGATGCGCAATTATACAAAGGTATGTCTTTGAAAAGCAGAAGCGGAGCCTCCTGCACAACCAACAAGAATGCAGAAAGTGGTTTCTGCTTTGCAAGTCAACAGCAAAACATTTGTCTTTTCCAGCCAAGTAGGTTTGTCTGCAGACGAAGCAGGCGTTTCCAAAGGAAGGCGTTTCTCCACTTCATTGGACCAAATTAACGTCATTCATTTTTTTCTTCTTAAAATATTGCTTTAATCTAGTTTAGTTTCATGAGCTTGATGTTGTAACTTGGAGGTATCTGAAGCAACCACCAAATGTGATTTTTTTTGTAAGTTTCTGAAAGATTTCTGCTGCTGGAACTCTTTAGAAAAGTCTACTTCCAGTCTGCAGATTAACCCCTCTCTTTTCCAGCAGCCATTGTACAGCGCATACAGCAGTAAAATTAGCTGACCAAACGTGCTGGAACTCCACTTGGGTTGCTAGGTGACGTCGGAACTCTGCTGGGGTTGCTAAGTAACGGGCTTGGCTTCTCTGGGGTCAGTAGGTAAAACGTCTCATTTTCCATACCCTGAAATACATTAATTTATTGTCAAAAAATGGCTTTTTTAAGCGTTTGGTCTGTCTTCAGAAGCAGTAAAAACCCAAATAGAAGTAGAAAGTTAGTAAAAAAAAATCCAAAGAAGTATAATGGGTCTCCTTTGTAAGAAGGTTTGTCTGCTTTTTAAGAAGTGAATGAAGCAAAACGTGACAGCAGAGATGAAATCCACTCATCAGCCGAGCTTTGCCTTAACAGAGAGCGCTCAAAACTAATCTATCACATGATGAAAGAGATACTATATAAAAAATATTAAACAGTTTGTAAATGAGACCATCTTCATAGTGAAGAATCTTATAAGAAAACCGATGAGAGTTCAAGCAAAGCTTCTTGGGGTTTCCTCTGCGATCGTCTGTTTCTGTTCTGTACGATTGTCTCGTTTATCCATTTTTAATCGTCATTCTTGTGCTTAAGAAGAAAAAAACAAAAGAAAGCAATGTGTGACGACGGTGTTCGTTCAAACGCTGAGAGATGAATGACGGTGACAGAGAAGCGTGCCTTAGACTGACTCAGAGTCTGGCTGCTATAAAAACACCAACTTCACTGAAATTTATTAGAAACTGTATTTTTAAATGTGATGTATAATGAAGTATATAATTTATTCCACAAGTATAATTATGAACCCATTTGTTGGGGTCTTTTGTTTGAGCAAATGGTTCACTTTGGGTCATCTCTGATTTGCGAATCAGATCCAACACGATTATTTTCAATAAAAAAAACCCACTTAGTCGTGTAATCAAATGTCAGCACCTTTTAACTCAATTAGTAAGCCTGTTAGTGAATTTGCTACAAGGCGTTAGGGCCCTTGATTTGTATTGGATGTTACTGAGGCTTCATGATTGTGTTCTGTTGTTGCACTGTGTGATGTGAGGAGACAAATATCTGTGCCAAAGCTCATTTTAAGCTGACTTTTTCTTTTTAAGCTATCAGTTCTGGTCAGTTGCTTACATTGCTAATGGGCATGAATTGTAGTAATATTACAAATCCATTACTGATTTTAAATGTTCAACATTCATGGATTCGCCTTTTATTATATTTTTTGTGTAAACCTTAAGTTTGCCTTTAGGTATATATTTGTTGATAAATTTTCAAACTTGATACTGGGTTAGATTTAGGACCAAAATTGCGACATTTGTTACATTTTCAGCTGCTTTGGACTGCTTTCACATTGGATTTAAAACAAATCATGCAGCGCCTCCACACCTGTGGGGGCGCTGCACCAAGAACCACCAAAGGAAATTACACAAAAATCTCAGAAGAAGACTTTTTTGGGGGGGTCAGATTTTAGTGTTTGTAGTATTTCACTTTTGTCTTCGGTAGAAGATTACAAGCAATTTCTCTTGCTAGCGCTAGATACGCCTGTTTGTTTTGGTTTGTATTTACCCAGAATTCCCTGATTTTGAAGCAGTTTCCAGTCCACTTGCACTCGAAACACACCAGGGTTCTCAAAGCTTAGTTTTTTAGGTGAACCAGCTTGTTTTTTGATCCATCTCAATTTCTCAATAATTTCCCATTATGCAGATCTTAAATTTCACGCAGAATGGTATTAAATAGTCTTCAATTTGAGTTGGTGAAACCTGCACGAACCATGTTTGTGCCCATAATGAGAGTAAGTAAATTTACACACTTGATAGTCCGGTAGACTCTGTTAAATTTGGGACCCAAATTGCAACACTTTTCATTTTGCGCTGGTGCGATTTGCTTTCACACTGCACTGTTTATAACAAACCAAACCTTTTTTTAAAAACTGTTCCCCTCCTCACCTGTGGGGGCGCTGCACCAAGAACCACCAAAGGAAATTACACAAGGCAAAACTTTATTGCTTACATAAAAAAAACAACAACAAAAAGAAATGTAAACAAAAATGGAGTGGGGTCAAATTTTTGTGTTTGTAGCATTTTACTGTTGTTTTTGGTAAAAGACTACAAGCTATTTCTTTTGCTAGTGCTAGAGACCCACATTTGTTTTGGTTTTATTTACCCAGAATGCCCAGGTTTATAGTGCACTTCCTGATTTTGAAGCTGTTGCCAGTCTGTTTTTATCCACATATGTATTCAAACCACACCAGAGTTCCTTCCAACCCAATCAAAACCTAGATTTTTAGGCAAACCATGGTTCGCATTTCTGCTCCACAACAGAGTTTCTCAATAATATCCTGTGATACAGATCTTGAATTTCATTCATAAAGTCTTCAATTTGAGTTGGTTAAACATGCAGATATCCTGTTTATGCCCATAGCAAGTGTATGTAAACGTCTGACCAGTAGAGTATTTGGACACATGGGGCCAGTGAATTGCAGATAAAACTGTGTTAGCAATAGAGGGTGGGAGGGACATGCTCCAGATAACCTGGGTCAGGATCTAATCTTAGACTGCCGCAACAAGAAGAGAGCAAGAAGTTCATTCCTGCACACCTGCAGACTCCGGTGCCAAAACGAGCTCAGCAGTTTCTGTTTTAATTCACGTTAATAACAAAAAAAGAAGTTTGAGGACAAAGTTTCCAAAAGAAAAAAATAGCAAAAATCATATATATATATTTAAAAAGTATAATACCAAAACAAAAAAACTGCATTATTGATTTAGATTTTGCAAGTTAGTGTTAAGTAACTTGCGCAGCAGCAGTTTCAGGTCCCATAACTGCGTAAAAATAAAAATTGGGGTGAAGTGAAAACTGAGGATAAAACAGGAAAGTTCACGTCACCAGTTTGGCAGTTTTTAAGATATTTAGAATAAAAAAACATCTGATCAATGATTATCGATATTTGCTGATATGAATTGCTTATATCGTCCAGCCAGCCCTAGTTCCTTTGTGTATCTAATGAGTGCAGCTAATGTCAAGCAGAAGAAAAACACCAAACCTCTTTTTCTATTTTACTTTTTAGGCTTTACTTCATTGATGTTTTGACAGTAAATAACTCAAAGCATAAATCCACTTTTTAAGCAAATTCGTTTTCTATCATCTGTGCCGAGAAATCCAGCATTAAAGTTTCCTTCCTCTGCTTGGCTAAAGGAAGCGCTCAGAGCTTTTAAAAGAGCAAAGGGAGACAAGGACTCATTATGTTTGCCGCTGTAATCCGTAATTACACAAGGACTAAGCTGACTGATTGTAAAACAGAATCCAGCACAGAGGAGGAGGAGGAGAAAATCATCAGCTCGGCTCTTCGGCCTGGACGTAAACATTGTGCGGGAATGTTTTTTCTCTCATGAAATCACATGAGTTTGACACAGAAGCTGAAACTTTTGCACAAGTCGCTGCTTTCCTTCTCCGTGGAGCCAAACTGTGAGCAGAAGTCGGAGGATGTTTCGTTTGATGATGCGTTTCCCCCACAGCACCCGAGCAGCTCTGTATCACTGTGTGGTTTGTTAGCAGTGTGTAGACCCCGAACAAATAGCTCTATGTAGAAGAAGTGTATCTATTGATGGTCACAGAGACTGTAACAAGTGAGCAACTATTTTTATTAAAATGCAACACTATGAATATATTAACTTTTGCAAAAAAAAAACTTGTTTACTTGTATCATATTCTGAGATGCTGTCAAAATAAAATTCTTGACACACGAACAATTCATTCAGCAATTGCCACTGTGTTGTTTATTACGGCTGAATCAGAAGTTGATAAACAACCATCAAATTTCCCATCATCCAATATGCGAATAGGAATGCAAATAACTGTTGTCAATGACTTAGAAACAAAATGCCCTACAAAATTTTTGTTTTTCAAAAAAGGAGGGAATTTTAAATACAACAGTGCCACTTAGGGGGCAGAAAAATTATTTCAAAACGAATAACTGGAACATTCTGAAAAACATTTATCATGTTACACATATCTACAGAAGACGAGTATAAACACGAACTGTCTTCAGGTCTTACATGAACTTCTGCTCCAACATGTTCAAGAAATAGCAGCTGGCTAATAGAGTAATTACATTAATTTGCCACAAGAGGGGCTGAAATGGAAAAAGTACATTGAAGCTGTATTTACAGTCAAAATAATAGTGAAGAGTCACAATAACAACACATAGTTCCCACAAGAACAGCCATCTTGGTAGGCTGCATATCTTTGCTCGCAGATAAATGCTACTTTAGCTTAGCTAATTTTGCTTCAGTAAATATCACTGAAATGTATCTTAGTATGACACAGAGGTGAGTATGGTATTCAACAGCTAATTGTTGCAATATATTGTTTATAAGTTATGGATGAAGCAAGAGCTAGTTCATTGTCAAAGCAACTCCATAACACCTGTCATGAATGTTATGGATACCTACCAAGATGGCGGTCAGCTGCAAACTGAAACGTGACACGACATGAGCTATGATGATGTAACTTAAAATGGTTAACTGAAAAAGATCTGAGGAAGAGGAAGTTACATGCGCACAATACTGAACCTTCAAATTAAAAGTTCAACAGATCAAATTTGCACATTTGAAATAAGTAGTGACATAAAAACTAGTTATTTAACAAAATGCATTTTAACTCTGTTAGACTTAACACAAAATACGCTTCCACACCATGTTGATTCATGTTTATTTTTATAGAATATGAAAATATGAAATACAAAGATTTTGCAGTGTGTGAGAAGTATGTGGGAAAAAATGCTGACTATATACTAATAACCTAAAAGCTCTCTGGCTTCAATTAAGTTTTAAGTATGGTTAACTTCCTTTTGTGTTGTGATGCTTTTGTTTTGAAGGGACAATTTCTTGTTTTACGACGGCAAAGGCAGCTTAACGGCAATCAAGACGATTTGTAATGGACCTTGTAAAATCTATCTTTTTAGCAAATGGAGAGGAAAGGTATGTTTATGATGAAAATAAGTACGAGTTTTAAATTTGGTGTGAATTTAACCGAGCAGTTATTAGAAATTAAGTTTATTTGCGTTGTGAGAGTTATTTTAAGCTAGCTGTTAGCGAAGCTAACCTAAAGTTTATCTGTATAGAATAAATTGCCATGGTAATTTTTTTTTTTTCAAAATTTGTTTTGTTTCTGTTTTTCCATGGTAATGTATAGTCTACTGCTTTGGTGAAATCTTATCAAAGCTAAATTCAGTCAGGATCTCTGAAAAATCTTGGATTTATCCGCCGTCTTGGCTTCGTAAACCAGGTTTGTGTGTTTGTGGGTTGCTTTCCTGACACGTTGACTGCTCCAAAATGCTAATATTGTTAGCGGCTAATGGTTAGCAGCTAATCAAGTGAATTAGTCAAACTCAACAAACTGCAGCAGTTCCGTTTCCACTCATCTGTTTACCTCGCCCAAAAGTTTATTTCAATCAAGAAACATACAAAAAAAAGACAAATATTGCATTTATTTACATTTTGTTCTATGCAAAGCTAATTGCAGAACACATAAATTATAATGTCAAAAGATTGGATGTTTTAAAAGATGACAAAACATAAAAAATAGATTTGCTTTAGTCATTAGAAAAACGAGCTGATATCCATCCATATGAGCAATAGAAAAATAAACATACAGAGGAATTTACATTTTTAAAACCTCATTAATCAATGACAAAACGTTTTACGTTTACATTTATTTTCAACTTACTAAAAATTTTAATAATTATATTGCAGCCAATACTTTTTAATTACTTATCGACTACAGGCTTTCTCATCTAGGATAAAAATAATTTTACCACGTCTAGATTTCAAAACATCTTAAGTAATTTAAAAATAAATGTGGTAGCATACACGGCAGAAAATACAAGAAAAATAGCTCAATTCTGTTTTTACTTTAACAAAATATAAGGATATCTGCTCAATCTAGATTAGTTTTTTCATGCTATGACTTTTTTGGCCACATGGTGGCGCTTCATTAGCTTCTGCTTTTACCAAACACTAACATAATTATATTTGGAAATCTGAAAAAAGATAAATGTTTAGCATCATTAGCTTTTAATTTTTTTCATAAATGTAAGATTTTGAGGAGCCGCTGTTTCATTTTATTAAAATTTAGTTGGAAAAATCCTCTTTTCTTCCAAAGTGCAGTTCTCCAATCTCACCACTAGAGGTCACCACAGACCAAAAGTCCATCTTCTCTGCAGCCTGGTTTCATAATTGTTGAACTTATATAAAGTTATTAGTCAGACACTTCCTATTACCATATGTTTTAGGGATTTTATGAACAGTTGTGGCGTTTGTAAACAGCTGAATATCCCAGGATGCACCCCCAGTGGGACGTATTGTTCAGTTTGCTCTGTTTTTCAGAAATTAATCCTGCAGGAAAACCAAATCTAAGCCCGACAGTGGAAAGCCCTAAGCTTGCTTCCTCTCCTCCAGCTTAAACCTGACAACTTTAGGCATATCTCAGCCGCACAGAGTCAGCAGCAGAATTAACAATAAAACAACCTTTCTGCATTACAAATACAGAATTTCTTTCTTTTTTTTTCAGTGCAGCATTAAATCCTGCTGGCATGCAGCAGCCACCTTGAGGTTTGTGGGTCAAATCCCTGTCTGCAGTCTGCTCATTATGCACCCTGACTGGATTTGGCTCCACACTGTGCAGAAGCAGATCTGTGAGAGCGAGACTCATGCAGACGTTACCGTTCTCAGCACCTGCATGTCGTTTAGAGTGAAACTCAGCTGCACAGCTGAAATTTACTGCAGATTATATCACAGCTGTTGCACTAAAAAGGCAACATGTGCCTCCAGGCTCAGAAATGAGACATAATTAAACCAGCATGGTGCCTTTAAGTTGTTCCCATGGCTACAGGGAGAAATTAATGTTGTTTAATGGTTGAAATTGTAGGATTTTAGGAAAACAGGGGATTTTTGGGAGGATACTTTAACCAAATTTTTTCAGGACTGTTTTAATTCGGACACATTGGAAGGTATCTCAATCATCTCAGGAGCTGCCTTTCTATACACCCATTTCAAAAAGTTTTGGCACTAAGGTGAGTTTTTTTATTTTACAAAATTATAATTTTGCTGCCACTGGTGGAAACCACAAAGAAGACGACAGGAAGTGGTCGTAGGATGATGGCACAGGATAATTTTTAATGACTTATTGCTTGAACAAAACGATGTACGTTGATTTTTAGTTGCGTTTCTTTTTTAATGGAAACACTATGGTGAAATATGTTTTCCTTTCAACGTTAGCAGAAAATGTAAAAAAATTTTGCACACATATGTAATAGAAATGCAGCTTATTAAAAGCCACAGTAGCTTTGTTTCTATTCACCATATTGTTATGCAATTTGACATTTTGAAAATATACTTGTTTTGGAAGAAAAATACTTTTTCACTACAATGTTTTGGTACTAGGATGATGGGTTCTTGTTTTTCATTGAAATTGTTTTATTTTGAAAAACTGAAACTGAAACACTGTTTTCGCATCATGAGTCACGTGATCAAGAAGGGCCGTTGCCACTGAACCAAACCACAAAGAAGACCATGACAGGAAGTGGTTGGATGATGATGGTTCTTCAGGTGTGATTTTAATTGCTAATGAAAATTGCGATATCATGTTTTTTGGACATGAGTGGAATATTGACAAAATTTTGAGCACATTTGTAATGTCTTCAGTCAGAGGCCTCTTCAGTCACGCTGTAGGACTGACTGCTAGCAGATGTCCTTCCTGTCTACAGCATCACCATCCTCAATAACGTATTGAATATTATATAATATTATATTATAGTATAGATTGGAGCCACGTGGGGATTTGTGAATGACATTACCGTGGCGCTCGGTCCACTCAGGGCAGAACTGCGTGTTCCGGGCGGTTTCGGGGAGGGCTCACGGGCTGCCTGACACGCCCAGCCCACTTAGGAGCTCATATTTGTGTAGCTGTCTGAAAATCTCCTGTTGTCTGCGGACAGGCAGGCGGACCGTCGGCCGTTTTCAACGCTGAGAGTTTCCCAGCAGCCTGACCAGAGGCGGCCGGTGGGAGGAGGCAGAGACCCCGCAGGAGCAGCCCGATCCGACACAGCCTGTCCGCTCTCCACAAGAGGAAGGACCCATCAGCACTAACCGATGTCTACGGTAGGATTGGATTTGTTTTCAGATTTTTTTTTTAAAGCTGAAAACGTAGCGGGTTTTCAGGGAGGAAGGGAGCAGCGGCGTGTCGTGGCACGCAGCTGCCCGAGCATCATTCACCGCTTTGGGCGGCCGGGTGGCGAACAGCAGCCCGGGTTTGAGCATCAACAAACCGCCGCGGAAAACATTATAACCTCTCGACTCATCGCCTTTATTAGTGCGGCAGTTTTTGATTTTGTTTTTAGCGGAAGCGTGGCGAAGGTGTGTTTTGAGGCCGAGCTCAGGTTAGTTGAAGCCGCCTCTGACAGTCAGGGCGGCGGGACAGTTAGAGCCGCAGTCGGCGAGGAGAGCGACCGGCCGCGGTAAGCTAGCGACCGTTACAGCCGCGAAGACAGGAAGTGGCGACACGGATTTTCAAAATTATATACACATTTTAAGCAAAACTAAACCGGGAGCTGAATTTGGGCTTTTTAAACTTTAAACATACACAAAATTAATCAGATATTTTTATTGAAAGTTTAAGCGGTAATTTTAGATGTTTGAGCAGTTGTATTTTATGTTGTACATAGGGAGTTTCAGACACGTGGAAGAATTTATTTGGGCTTATATCTGCTTCTTCAAGTTCAGTTACCTTATGTTACATTAGCAACAATATGGTCCTTTTATACTTCATAGTTACCTGAGAATCCACAGTGATGAGTGAAGGGTTTCAAGTTCACAAGAAGGTTTATATTTGATTAATTGTACTTATGATCAATAGAAAATATTTAATTATCATAAATATGTCAGTTAATACTATTATTTTAATTCATGCTGTCATTGCTACACTTTCTCTGGCGGCTTTAGCAACTCGGACGTCCTCTGATTTTATTTTGAAATTACGTACCGGAAGTGACCCAATCACCCCCGCGTGTTTGATGAAAGAAGAGGGTCAGCACGGATTTATGTGGCTCCAAATGCCTTTAAAATGTGCACCATCTCCCTGAGCCATAAAAGCTGTTTTTTAACAGAAATCCCTCTGGCACACAGGGAACATTAACAGCAATAGTGCTGCATGTGGATTTTGAAATAATTGGGTGGCAATTTGTAATGGAAGTAAGTGAAAATCCTTACAAATCTTCAGTGTTGGTCCAGACAGAGAAGCCAAACCTCTGTGTATCTGCTTATCTAACAGCCTCTCTAATACACCACAGCTTCTCCCTTCAGGCTGTGGTGCAGGAGTGTCTTGTCGTTCGGCGTGAGGCAGTACTTGAGACTCCATGGCTGCACTTTCATTTGATTTTCAGAAACCAAAAAGCCTAAAAAGTCTCCCATACTGACACAGAGAGAGCTCTAATTCTCATCAGGGCATGGCCTAAATTTCCCTCCCAGATAAGCTACCTAAACTGTGATCGTATAAAGAAAAAAATCCCTCCATACTTCATCCTTCCTCCTAGAATAACAGACTTAAAAAGTGGTTCATCTGACTTCCTGATTCAAAAGCACGTTTACGAGTTCCCCCATTACAACTGCACCGCTTTACACATGTGCTGCTTTTTTCCTTCCTTGCGTCTCCAGTTGCACCATGAATCTTTAAAAGCTTATAAGAGATGTGGTTCTGCTTTTTCCAGTCCTGGTTCTCCTGTGCGTACACCCCTTGCAGAGCAGTAGTAATAGTAGTTGTGTTGGTGAGCTGGTGTAAAGTGCAGAGCGGAGAACCTGCGGTCAGAAAACACTTCTTGTGGTCTGGGGTGAGGAGCATTGCAACCAAACAGCCTTTGCAAAGATACAAATCTATTTATTACAGGTGGAAGTTTGCGGATCATGTTGCAAATTAAATATTTAATATAATTTAAATGCTGTTTTGGTCATGCAATGCATACAATTCAGTTCAAGGTATCCTGCAAACTCCGAGGAGTGATTTGTCTTCCTAAAGTAGGTCTGCAGATGTTGGCCCATAAACCACAATGTTAGGATTTTTTGTTTACAAGCTGCTGAATGAAAGGAAGCAGCCTTTTTCTATGATTGTTTTTTTTGGTCTCCAACATTATTTATGTTGTGTTTCCAAATTCATAAATGTCCTTTTGCAATAAAAACACATATATGTATCTATAATTTCAACCAAACCTGTCGCAATAAGTAATAAATCAATTTATTGTGTAATAAATTAAAACAAGCTCAATAATTTCCATTTTCTCTTCTCTGTTTCTACCAAAAACTGGATGATAAAATTCTCCAGCCTGGTGTTTTGCTCTCAACTAGCCCTTTGTTTACAAACTTCATCATTAATTTTATTCGTTGTTTATTTATTTTGGATACAAAGCTAACATCTGCATTTAGAGGGGTTCAGCCAATTGGTACCAAGAAAAATGAATGGCACTCTTGGATCGGCTGCTTTGAAAACTCCAGCCAATAGCGTGTCATATCGTATTGCCTTCATGTATTTCAGCTTCCCAAGCTGCATTTTCTTTTAAATATTTTTGTTGATGTTGTACGAAACAATCAGTGAATGTCTGCAAATAATCTGGAGTTGCGTTCCAGTGAAAAATTCAAGAATAGTTTAGCGTCCACCAAATTATGCCTGTAATTCTGAAACTGATTTTACATTTTTGTAGATTTTGAGATAATCTCACTTGGTCCAAATGTCTTTAAATAATGTGAAATTATTCTTAAACACAAAGCTAAATCAGAAGTTAATGTCTTCCTCGTCTTGATTTGTAATCAAGCATTATCATTTTGGTGCTACTATTAGTAGCACAGAAATATAAGGCGTCTGGTGGAAAAAAACACAAAGCTGGTGTTCTAACATGTTGAAGAAATGTCACTAGAAAACTAATATAGGTCATAAAATCCCCAAAGTGTCTGTACTGAATTCTGTGGCAGTTCCTTTATTATTTGTGGTTGCTCGGGGTTTAATGGGAAAACTTTGCTTTCGCTAGCGGCTCTGAAACAAAGTCGTTAAACGATTTTTCCTCCTGAGATCATTAATATCTGCTCTAAACTTAACAGTAGACCCAAGCCTGAATTTGACTGGCTGACACTGAAACAATGCAAAGACGTGAGGCAGCGGAGATGCTGTGAAGCGGCTCCGCCTGAGGCGAAAGTGTGGAAAACGGCAACAGCATTTCCAGTTAAACCAGCTGACCCAGTGCAAAAACACAGTTTAACCCAGGAATGGGCAACTCCAGGCCTCGAGGGCCGGTCTCCTGCAACTTTTAGATGTGTCTCTACTTCAACACAGCTGAATCAAATCGCTAAATCACCTCCTCAAGTTCTGGAGTCAAGTTCTCCAGAGTCCTGCTAATGACCTCATTATTTGACTCAGGTGTGTTGAAGTAGAGACACATCTAAAAGTTGCAGGAGACCGGCCCTCGAGGCCTGGAGTTGCCCAGGTCACCGGCCCTCGAGGACCAGGACTGGTATCCTCTAATAAAGAAAATGGACAAACAGAAACATAAAGAGCAAAAAGAAGGTGCTAATTTAGCAATGCACAATGCGTCGGTGATGGGCAATAAATTGATTTGCTCAATAAATCAAACGTTTGGTTTTTGAAGATTTAATTTTTGGGAAATTGGGATTTTTTTTCTCTCCTTGAGTTTTCATCAGTGATGTCAGCAGGCCTTAGGTGGCCATCTTGTTTTACAAGTGTGTTTCACAGCTTCTATCTATTTGGACTTTGAATTCAGGGCAACTTTATGGTGGAATATTACCATTTCTTTTCTTAATCACAAGAATAAAGAAGAGTTCCAACATGGGGGAAAAAAATAAAACGAGGAATGTTAAGATTCTTACAAAGTTGTATTTTGGATTAAATTTGACAAATATTACTAAATACAAATACTTATTTTTTTAACAAATCAGCATTAAATTATCATCAGCATCAGGACTTTGAAATGATCATCCAAACGACTTAAATGTATTTTGAAGAAAAATTTACTTGAACTGATCTGGCAATGTTGGAAGCTTTCTACTCATAAAAATCAACTTCTTTCTCATAATTTTAATGTTCTTTTAGGTAAAATTGTGTCTTTATTCTCGTAATGAAATAGAAATGATTGCAATATTTCAAAACGGTTTCTGTAATTTCTTTTTTAGAAAAGAAAGTGAGCAAAGAAAATCAATTAAAATCTGATCTGGTATGAAAATGTATGAAAGGCTGAATGAGAGTTTATTCTGAACTAGAAAGATGTTTGGTTTTTTTTTAAGCTAAATAGAAAAGCCGACATGAATCAGCTGACGTCATCTTGGTTTTTTATCCACTTCCTTTCTCCAGACCAATAAACATCCTTTTTCCTCTGGTTGCTTCGACATTGAATGCCACAGCGATGCATCTATGCAGGGTCACGTAGATGACTTTTAAGGCTCACTAAATTTTATTCGTTGTTTATTTATTTTGGATACAAAGCTAACATCTGCATTTAGAGGGGTTCAGCCAATTGGTACCAAGAAAAATGAATGGCACTCTTGGATCGGCTGCTTTGAAAACTCCAGCCAATAGCGTGTCATATCGTATTGCCTTCATGTATTTCAGCTTCCCAAGCTGCATTTTCTTTTAAATATTTTGATGATGTTGTACGAAACAATCAGTGAACGTCTGCAAATAATCTGGAGTTGCGTTCCAGTGAAAAATTCAAGAATAGTTTAGCGTCCACCAAATTATGCCTGTAATTCTGAAACTGATTTTACATTTTTGTAGATTTTGAGATAATCTCACTTGGTCCAAATGTCTTTAAATAATGTGAAATGTGAAAACTGTGTTTTTGCACTGGGTCAGCTGGTTTAACTGGAAATGCCGTTGCCGTTTTCCACACTTTCGCCTCAGGCGGAGCCGCTTCACAGCATCTCCGCTGCCTCACGTCTTTGCATTGTTTCAGTGTCAAAATCAGAAGTTAATGTCTTCCTCGTCTTGATTTGTAATCAAGCATTATCATTTTGGTGCTACTATTAGTAGCACAGAAATATAAGGCGTCTGGTGGAAAAAAACACAAAGCTGGTGTTCTAACATGTTGAAGAAATGTCACTAGAAA